AAGAATCATGAATTGSAAACCTTAGATGAACCAAAACAGGAGCTAACTCTGGCCAGTTGTGGAGGACTTAAATGACCTAGGGAACGAGTTTTAATTCTTCTTCATACATTTCTTTGTATTTTTTACTTGCGCTACGCGCTGATGACCCCGGAAATTACAAAGAAATGAGTTTACTTGCTCTCTAGATCAACTAAGTCCTTCAAAACTCGCCAGCTAACTCCTTTTCGTAGTATCTAACGTTTGAAATTAATAAATCTTTTAGAATAGGAATTCCACTGGAGTTCTTTGACATCGAATTTCCAATCATCCTTGTTACTAAAGCAAAATGGCGATCAAAACGGTCACAGCAACGATTGTCTCGAAAAATGTGACTTTGCAATGAATATAGAATCCGAGGGCTTGACTTACCAGTATGTATAGGGTATTTGCCCGTCATCAAAGCGCTCCTAGTAGGTGTACATATAGGCTGGACATAGTAATTATCCAGTATCACTCCCTCCGATGCTAGTTTATCGATGTTTGGAGTTTTGATTGGGGAAATGTTTTGGTATCCGACATCACTCCAACCAAGGTCATCAACCACAACAAGAAGAATGTGTGGTTGCTTGGATTGACAGCTTCCAAAGACAGTTATTAGGAAGACGATGACGAAAATCTCATGCTTTTTCATATTGAAGAATGTATAAATAAAGTCTATCACGAGATAAATATATTTGACCTTTCSAAGGTGACAACAAGTTCCTAATAGGGGAAGGGTGAGTTAATAAGTAGTAAGAGAAGGTTGGGGAAAATATCAATTGTTCGAACATGTCTAATAATGGCATGAAAAATATGAATGAATTAACAATAAATAGTTTTAAGTTGATATCAATAAATAAAAGCACAAATGAAARACTTTCAATAGTTGAGTTTCGCGATCTCTTTTACGCTGTGATAGCCTCAATTGTGTATGTAACTGAAATATTCAGACTTTGATAAAACTCGTGAGATTTCAAACTATTTTCATTGTCTTCTATACTCGCGGATCTCTTGCGTTTGCAAGGGTTGTTAGTGAATAAAAGAGTTTTACTGCATGGAGGCTAACACAGCGTAAAAGAGATGGCTAAAAGGCTCTATTTTAGGCATTTTTTTTTAAATTTTAAAAATGTTATTTCAGCTAATTAAAACAATATATCAGCCAATTGCCAGGCGTTTCTATCCGCTTCGTTGGAGTTTAAGCGAAAAAACCAGTTTGTTCGACACTAGGCTGTATGCACAGGCTTGGCATTTTTATAATGTGCCTGACTAAGTGTCCCCCAAAAATATAAAATGTCAGGCAATSGATTTTTTTGAAAAATGTTGCTAGAAAAATTATAATTTCAAGCGATAGTGCAAGAAATTTGCCAAGAAATACARCTGTTAGGCTGAATTGTTTTAAATCTCATCAAAAAATCTAAGCATTGAGAGATATAGATTAAACGCATGAAGTACTAACTTCCCAAAGAGAGTGTAGAAGTGTTACTGATGATTGTAATTGAAGTTTCTACCATTTAAAATTAAAGGCGCTCAATGAGCGCGTGTGCCTACCACGATTGTGTGCAAATTGTAAATATAAGTGAAAGCGGATACATAGTGGTTTTAGTAAATCTATGGAACACAAATATTTAGACTCAATCAACGACCATAGAATGGTAGTCGTGCTCATGAGAGAGTCATATGACTAACCTGTTGCATCGTGCTTTTGAAAGAATTTAAACGTGGGCTTGTATAACGTACAAAATACCTGCGTGGACTTCCATACTCAAAAAGCACTAGTAGTACACTTTTTAGTTTATTCTGATGATGACTTTGTATTTGAAAACGTTCAATTTTTCTTTTTGTACATGTTGTACATAGTTTACAGCCTTTTTATTGACCGTTTTTTATTGTATATAAAATAGCACTATTTTATATTTAGTCAGTAGAGCAAACGCAAGAAAACCACGAAACAAAATCAAACTAAATACTAACAAATAGCGGCTATTTAGAGACAAATTGTCAGTACTATCAATGAACCCAGAACGCAATAAAGATGAATGAAAAATGGTCCCATGTGGATTCATCTTCATTGTGTTCTGGTTCATTGATACTGACAATTTGTATCTAAATAGCCGCTATTTGTTAGTATTTAGTTTGATTTTCTTTCATGGTTTTCCTGCGTTTGCTCTAGAAAATAATGTAAACAAAGTGAATAATAAGAAATGGCAAGTGTCAACCTCTGGGTAATTATCATGTTTTCCTTTCGAGTTTACCTAAATGTCGTGGGTCGTGGGTCGTGGGTCGTGGGTACGAAGTCGTGGGTAGTGGGTAAAGTCGTGGGTACGAAAAATTCATTAAAATCACGTAAAAATTACATAGAAGTAAAAAAAGGAAGGGCAACTTCCTAATTTATGAATAATATAATATAATTGAGGGCAACCTGTGCGTTAACTTTGGATTCGTGCAAGCTCTACTCTGCGCCTTAATATATCGCTCAAGCAACTTGAAATGGGCACTGGCTTGTTTCTTAAGCCCTGCTAAGTGTCATATGTGTCATAAACTCCATGACATATATAACCTGTGAGCAGGGTTAGGTTTATTTACCTTACCCTYCGTAGACACCAGTGTGTATTATATACCATATAGATGGTGTCAAGACCCTTTTTCTCTACTAAAATGACTTATTTACAATGTTTAATGTTCTTTTTTCTCTTTCTACATATTTATTCTTTAAAAAAAAATACATTCATCAATCATCATTGAATGAGGACGTCTTAATTGTGCTGATGGACAAGGAAAAAAAACCCAACAACAAACAAGAAACATTGACATGCAAATGAAACGCATTTTTTACGAGAGATAATAAAAAAAATTAGTGTGGGAGAGGAGAGAGGGGGGGAAGGGGAATGGGGAGATGGAAGGTGTTCTAAATGCAATTCGCCGAAGTGGGAAATTTTTGCAAGATTTCATAAATGCCAGTTAATATGCCAGTAACGTGAACTTTGTATTCGGTCTTGCACGATAGGTTTGCGTACACCAGCTATTCTTTTTCCTAGATTCAGTCCGTACACTTTGTATTTATTCGCACAAGCAAAGATTTGTTAATATTCAAGTTCTTTCATTGCAACTAGTTGTTCAACCCTTTCCTTGTAGATTGGACCGGTTTTGTAAAGTCACCAAATAGATGATCACAGTCGTCGGGCAAGCTCGWCCAAAAATTTAAACCCTCACAAACCACGCATTCAAAATGCTATGGTCATCACCTCCCCCTCACCCTATACCTCCTCCCCCATCCCGACTTCAAATAATAAATGATTAAATAATTATAGCCTCTTTAAGTAATCCTGTGACTCTCTGTCTGCTTCTTTGAATACATTCTTAAAATGAAACTAAATATATGTGGTCTCTCCCCAGTGAGCATGTCTAGACAAATCAAGTACCTCAATTTCCGGAAAACCGTCTTTAAAGAAACCTTGCCGTAGCACAAACTAGTTGATTCCACTCTAGCATACTTTGCAAAAGGTGAGACAATTAATAACGCACTTTATATTAACGATTTATAGTGTTAAGATCTCCAGACTCTTTTTAGCATACAAGACCATTTACCTTGACTCCTAGACCACTGATTTATACTGATTTTTAGTTTTTCTTTTAACTGAAAATATTATGAAAACATTCAACGCTGTCATATGGAAGATTTCTAGAAAGTTTTGAAACGTTTCAGTTAAACTGTGGAAAAATGCTAAGTTATTAAGCAAATAAGAATATGCGAGGATTTCTGTAAAATTCTTTACTTAAGGTATTTGAAGCCTCGTTCTGGTGTTTTTTTTTTGCCTCTTCCGTACTCTTATAACATTGAGATAATTCAACATTTGTCCAAAGCTATGTCAATAATTATAAGTTATGGTTGATATGTTAATAGTGTCATGTGACGATGTTTGATCAAGTATATCTGTATTTTATGTTTGAAAATGCACATTTCGAAATTGAATGATGATTTCGTGATGAATGCCAGATATAMGTCTAAAGTAACATTTAAATTTAGCAACTCCTGTCTTATATAAAGTGAGATTTTTAAAAGAAACTGTTTCAAACATGGGTGGGCGAGATTTTCAGTAAGTGACTGCCTCAAGGCCCGAGTTTTTCTTTGATTTAGATGAATACAAGATTTCGTATTATTCCGAATATAATATCATGTAATATTGTGTCATGAGCAGAATTTTAGTCTTGCTCAATCGAAGGTCCTTGAAAACCGAATGAAATCATATTTCACCGCCTTTTATATCTGGGTCAGAATACAACTCTCCTTTCCCCTTTGGTTGCACAAAACCTTTGTTTCTATTGACCGTAGGTTACTTTGAATCCATTAGGCATTATAGAATCAATCAAAACTATGTATCTTTCCCTGTTTCTGTAGCTCAGACATTCTTAATAATAAACACGCTGCATGTAACGTGCGTGTGTGTCTTTGTCCTTAATTTGACACAAACACAGTGTGAGGCGGAGAACAACTGCTTTTCGAATTAATTATTGGACTGCTCTGCATTCTCTTAAGTGGGACTATGTACAGCATTCAAGTAGACAATAAGATGCAGAATTTATCCGCCTAATTTTCTTTGTTTTTCTTGACCCAAAGCATTCCCGTCCTCTCAATTTGTCTTTTTGACTCATATTTCAAGTATATAATATAAAAATTAGGTAAAA